TACATTTCTAACGAATTACAAAATGATGACAACAAAGCATGAAAATCAACAAGGAAGTGAGACTTAGCTTGTCTAGCAACCAACGCACCCCACCACAGTCAGTCAGTCAACAGTGGAAATGAGAAAGTTGCTGGTTGTAATGCAACACCGCCAGCGCAGGATTCAAATATCTAAACAACGAAGTAACGGTCTTGGCGCTGGTGGTGGTGGTGGTGCTGGTGGTGTCGAGATGAAGCTGCTTTCAGCTTTTGCAGCTTTCCATACAGACAGAGCGTGTTGAGTGTGGTATGCTGCGCTGTGTTGCTCAGCAGCGCTGGCGCAGGCGCAGCATTACGCCCCTCAAATAAATCAGATAACTTCATGGTACGTGCGCCTCACTACACTGAGTGCCGGGCGCGGTCTGAAAATCAGCTTTTCTATTAGTTGTTCTTGTGAGTTGTTGTTGTTGGTATTTTTTGGTTGTATGTTGTAATGGTGTAACGTTATCGTCACATCTGCTGCTTTTCCAAACATTCGACTTGTCTTTAATTATAATGAATTCACCGATGTTGGTGTTGTTGTCGTCGTTCTTCTTCTACTTTTCCAATGTTCGTGTACGCATTTAGAGGTGTACATAGTATGTATGTAAGTTTGTTCTTGTGCTTATGTTAAATGTATGTAATATGCAAATCGAAAGGCACAAAATTATGCATTCATTCGTTAGGACACACACTCGTACACACAGAGTACTCTCGCACAGATGCCCCTTAGACACTCATACATCTATCTACATTACATAAACACATGCACATATTAACATTAACATTTACATTTATATTTACATACATACTTATTAACCAAAAAGTTGCAGCCGTGCATTGGCTTGGATGTATAGCCGTGCGTTTAAGCGCAAACCAGTTTACTAATTTTTCCAAACTTTAATATTTCGAAAATTTTCACAAAACTAGCTTGCACTCCCGATGACGACTGTCAACTGGCTACCAGGAGATATAAATATGTACGAACACACGTACATACCGTTGTAAATGCAAAATGACATTGCGACAGTCAACTTCCTCACTGACTGACCGAGTGACTGTTGTCAAAGTCAACGGGAAAATGCAAAGTGATAAATGGAAATTTTCATAATGTCATCAAGTTCTTGTTCTTGTTGTTATTTCGTTAAATGTTATGCTAAAATTAGAATATTTTGTTTCCCAGCTTTGAAAAGTTGTCCTTTGGTGTTCTGCAATGCGGTTGATCTCAGCAAAAAAAAAAAATTATGATGAATATACAATAAATTCAAATAATTGCTATATGCTCAGCCTTATGAGTTCGCTTACATATATATATATAAATATATATATCTATATAAATCAGAGGTATTAAATACTTCATTCATTCATGCGTTAATTTTAAACCAAATTTCTTTTACATTGAAGTTTCAAGTGATTTCAGTCACTTTTTTGTTAGTCTTGACAAGAGCAATAAAATATTTACATATATTAAAAAATTTTAATTTTTTTTTTTACATTTTTTCTCAATACTTCAGATTTTAGCAAAGGCTATAGAAAATAAGGTTACGGCAGCAGCGAAATCATATGTTTAATGACGAGTTGGTTCAATTTTGTGGGTTGTCGAAGGTTTTAAAATAAATTTTATTTATAAAACAACTTAACATTTTGACTATAAAATCCTAAAGCCTTGCATTCAAAATTTTTTTTAAATTAATAATAAATGGTTTTATTAATACGTTCTCAATGCTTTTACGTCGAGCAAATTCATGATTAAATAATTAAAGGTTGGATAAGTAAACAGTTTTCTCGCTCCCTCTTGACAGAAACGCTCCCTTACTGCAAAACAATAATCCTTCTTTGTTAAAGTATTATTTTTAGAATAAATATTTAAATGGTAGCTAAATACTTCATTTTTTAATGAAAACATTTGGTAGACATCACATACTATTTTCAGATTGGTTGATTCAATATTTTGACAATTATTTAGTTATTTATTTTATCTTGTTGCGGAATCTGCAAATCGTAATTAATTGTGATTTTAAACGAATTTTGGCGATAAATCGATTTTGACAGCTCCGCATCGCCATGTTTGAATTACTCTGCCGGTAGGCCGTCAGCTCCAGCCGCTTTTTTGATCTTTAAGCGCAAAATCGCTATTCGAATCTCAACACAGTTGGACAGTGTAACGTCCACCATCTCCGTGTGTTTCACTTTCACTACTATTCAGTACAATAGGGAAGTGTTCCCTCCATAAATTTAGTATACTCTAGGCATCCGTAATTAGATCACCCATATGGGTGCTACAAGTGTTTGCTCTTGTCGTTGAAAGACGACGTATTTTTTGTAGAATAAGCATGAAACCTATCAACCAGCTTCTCAAGCTCCTCATACTCACGCATTCTGGCCTCTTTCTTTCTTCCTCCAAATGCGTCTTGGTTCCTCGTTAGCTCTATCCTATCCTGGCAAAGTTGCGTGGTATGAAGCCTGCTTTTTCTTCACAACTGCACGGCAGTCCACATTGTACCATCTGTTTTCGGACCTTTTTAATAACTGTCTATCACAACATGATCGAACATGGTTTGGGTTTTTCGACAAATAAGTACCTTGATTAATTTTATTATGCTGGAATCGAGTATTGTAGACAACCATATTTAGAGCTTTGGGAAAGTCGATCAGCCTCAACCCTCCTGGGGATGTTTTATTTTTGACGCTGAATTTTCCGACAGTTGTGCCATTCTGGCGGTGATGTCAGTCTATAATTTTATTAGAACATCAAACAAATTATGCAAATTCTTTTAATTCAACCAATTAAAAGTAATTTTACTATTTATAATTTTATTATTTTACACTTCCATTAATTTTTACAGTATAGATATTCATTTAATTGCTGTATATAATTTAGAAAATATAGCTATATTATTTTAATTTAAAAAGTATTTAATTCGTGTTTAAAATGAATGAAATATAATAAATCTCATGTAAATTACCAACTATCTTACTTTTTAACTCTTTTTTTGCTACTTTTTCCATGTTTTTTTTTAATGGAATATATTTTCTCCCTCTTTTTACTACTTTCCAAAATGCAACCATTTGTAAGGGAGCGTCAAAGCTCCCTTGTCACTACTTATCCAACCTTTAGTAATTGAATAATGGAGCAAATGTATTTGTTTTCAAACATTTTTAAACTAAAAACATAAATAAATAACCTTTGAAATAATTCGGCTTGCAGTTCGAATAGATACATTAAAACAATCTCCAATATCTCGAATTGAGCGGGCTTCATGCTACGCAAACCAAAGAAATAATGCTAAATGCAATTTGGCAACGTACACTTTGATTTCATCCAGCTTTTGGAACTCACACGAAAATGCATCATAAACTCTTCATCTGTGTACTTTGCAATTACTTCTTTGAAGTAAGTTTCGATAAAATTTCTTTTATACCTCAAAGCGGCAAGTACAATCAATTATCGGGAATTCTGAAACAGTCCTAACGAAATTTTACGCTTTACTATCCTCTATTCTCTTAATGATAAAACAATCTAATCCAATTTATATCACCTGCCAAGATGTTCTATCTGTTCATTAAGAATTGTACGCTCAAAAGAAAAGCTCACAGTCGAAACGTACATCCATATTCTCCAAATTGTGTGCTGATTTCTGTTAGTACAATTTTTGTGTTCTCGTACCTTCTGTGTATTTTATAAAATACCAATGGTTTCAGTCGAATGTCCTGTTTTGGTTTAAAGGAGTCAAGAAACGGTTACATTCTTTCTTTTTTATATTAGCTAAAAGTATATGTATAGGCTATTTAGAGGTTCCAAACCTTCCCGGGGATCTTGGACCGGAATTCAAAAAGAATTATCCTCACAAGTGCACTATCCATTCTATAATTGATTCTCCCAATCCCCTTATAAGACTCGTATCTCTTTTTTATTTGCTATTTCGTCTCTGAAAAATTTCACAACAACTAACAATTAAGTTTTCTGTCCAGCTTGGAAGGTTATTGCAATCATATACTTAAATAAAAACGAGGAGATATAGCGTAAGCTGGTGCAAAATGAGATATTACTAAGCAGAAAACTGAACGCCGGTCTGTAAACGATGAATTGCTGGAGCAAAACAACATAACGAATTCTCTCAGCCAGAAATCATCACAGAAATTATCATCACGTTTCCGTAAAAAGACAGCTTGCGCAGACATAATGTCGAAATCTGTATTAGACTTGCTGTAGCAAGTACCATTTGCAAAAGGAACTTGGAAAAGGAAATAACCCACTAAAGATGGTTCTGATCTATAAAAATGAACCCCGGTTTTACCAGCAGACTACAATCGGTTCAAGGATTCTTCATCAGTAGTAGAAAACTCAGAAATACTGTGCAAGAAGGGTTTGGAAAACTTTCAACGAAATTGTGTTGTTCACATACCAAAGAAGGAGACTTGGAATTAATAGATGTAAAATCCACAACTAAAGAAAATTTTGTTCCAGAATTTGGGGAAAAGTCCGTACAAAGTTGCGAAACACCTGAATGAAGTTAAGTATTGAACTACCCCTTTTGGGCAACAAGTATTACGATGAAAGTGGTTCACCTGAAAGCGTCCTCAGCTTAATTCTAGAGTGTGTTTGCTGAAAAGCATTACGTATATACTCCCAAAAATAAATTCCGAAAAAAGTGACCAAACGGCTAAAACCTAATTCGGGCTTAAAATATTTTCTAAAAAAACCAATAAGCAAAACACTTTAATATAACGGAATTTCCAATGCATGAGCAACTTATGACACAAATGAGATGATGTTAAATATATGTAATTTCCAAATACAAAAGGATCCACCCACAATAATCTATCTATTGTAACAACTAAATAAAAAACAATAAACGTTTCAATTGTTTCGAAAACAATGGCGGAAACTCAAATAAGAATAACGTCAATTCATCATTTTGCTTTCATAAATTTCGTGGAAAAATCTCCAATTCATTTTCCATTTACTTCATACTTTTGAAGGACATGCAAATCATGGCCATTACTGCGTGTGGCGCGCTCGAAAAGAAAACAACAACAGATCCTAAAAAATGGAAGAAACAAACGCAGTTAACAATAACAATGAAAATTACCTGCCAATTAACACTTGACTATGGTGGTCATAAGAAGGCTCTAAAAAAAAAGGATATGACAACTCAATAGCCGCCACTTCAAAGAAAAACTCTTGCGGTTGTGGTTGCAATTATGAGTGATTCCAAATGATTTGTTTGCTTTTAACAGTTATGATGAGTATTGAATATATTTGTATTGTGTGGTCTATGTACATATAACTAAAAAGTCATCAGAATTCAAGCAAATCCTTATGCATATATTCCAGAAAATCGCTGACAGCCTTTTGGGCAAAAAACTCTAGGTGATGACTTCTTCTTTTGTGGAAAACAATCAATCAAAATAATGGAAAATTACATGGATTAACATAGGTTTAAAATTCGCATATTCTTGATGGGTTAATATGATATACTATAATATATATATACTATTTATGTGGAAAGTAGACAAAGAAATAATGATTTTTAAGCTAAGAATGAAAGAATAAAAGAAACTGGAATTTTCAAAATATGCTGTATTAAGTGTTGTTGTTAATATTAGATTATCTCAATTAGAATTATTTGCGAAATAGCAGTGGAAAGGTGGATTTTTGTATCCATTTCTCAGCAAATCAAACATTCTCCATCTAAAGGTAGTAATGGAAGTCTTACCGCTATCCCATAGCAGTTCTCCTCAAAACTACTTTAGTTTTCATTAGACCTAAAATTAGCCTAAGTTCTCACTTATATTTTACTTTACAATAAATCACTTCAACAAAACTATTCGTCGCTGCCTATCTTCAAAGCTCTCTTTCAAAAATTCCTCAGACGGCATGGTCCACGCTTCCACAGCGCTTTGTTTTTGTTCATCGAGAGAGAATTTATTTTTCCATTTCTCACTCAGTCCAAAATGGGTTTGTTAGCTAGAGTGTTACTGCGTTGGAATCCAAGGCTGACTCTATTATTAGTTGTAATGCAGGTGCCAACGAATCTATGTACATATCTACAACCTCACAGTTAGTACTATCAAAAACTGACGATAGGAGATACTTCGCTTGCCCTAGTTTTCTGATAGACCCATTAGCCTCGTTTTCAGTCTAATTTGGAGAGAGCAGAACCAACGAGCCAATTATGTCAATGGTGGCGACATTCGATAACAGTGTAAACACTTGTATATGCTCTATAGCTTTTACTTCTCTAGCAGCCATTCCGTCTGAAACCTCGTATGATACTGAACTACTCGAAAAAACATTTTCGAATTCTTATGACGCTTTTGGTATAGTCACTGTGCCTTGACTTGACCTTACATTCACCAAGTACCTTTTTCAGGGATATTAATATATTTACGAAGGAGCATTTTTATGTTCGCGGAATGGAGGATAGTGGGTTGAAATGAAACACCAAATTACTTCTCTTTTTCAATATATTCAACCACAATAGATTTTTTAATTAATTTATTTATACCGAAATTAAAAAGTTTTCTCCTTATTATCAAAATAAACCGTAATTGCTTTCTTGGCTTCATCATTGGTGATAAGTTTTGTACCATTCAAGAATTTTTTTCATTTCTCGAAACAGGTTATAACAACTCGTAACCAGATCTGGACTGTAGGGTGCAAAATATCGAAGCCCACCTTATACAGCCTGATCAACCGAGGCATTATGTTCCTCTCGCAAATAAACTAACTATTTGTAGATTATGATTTTTCCCATACAAGAGTCACTGTAACTATTGGCATATCATCCATTATGATCGCACCTGATCTTCTTTGCTTATTGGTATATTCGTTTTGATTTGAAGTTGCTTGGTTGACGATGGTAATTGTGTATTTATACTAAGTATAAGTCACTAAACACATTTCGATGTAAATGGGCCTAATGACCGCCCTAAAACCCTCTCATTCCGGGAACCTAAAAACGCTCTATCTCATGCACAGATCAGTAGTTCTTAAAATATGGAGAATCTCTTCAAAAAATCATAGAAATGCTCGAAATAAAGCCATTTATATATGACATGTATCACTGGACCAAATGTGAATATTATAAAACACTCTTTAACTGCGATCAATACTTTTTTCAAATAATTTATAGCTCTCTCTTTTTTTTAACTTTTTGAAGAAGAAAAGCTTAGGAGTGGCTTTCTAGGAAAAATTCCACTAACATGGCTTTACATTCCAATGGCCGAATTTATTACTCTAATTTGAATATTTTATCACTTAATTTTTAACTCGGGTAAGAAAGACAGAAATTTAAAAATAGTTTGCGAAAAATTTATTACAAAATAACGTTTTTCAAGCACGAATTAGAGTATTTTCATACAGATACGCTTAATTGTAGGCCAGGTTTTATTTAAGTATGTGTGGCACAAAAAAACGTAGCCTACATTTGGGGTGATGAAGACGAATTAATTCTCATTAAAATAAAAATTAAAAATATCTAGACAAATGCTTATGATTATATTGTCTAATAACAATTAAAAAAATATAAAAAATTTATAAGATATACATATATTGTTTTGTTTTGAACCATCAAACTTTTTGCTAAAAGATAAAAAAAAAACTCTTCCAGACTATAACCAATTTTGTCTGAGTTGCACAGTCCAAATACGTTATAAGACACTGCAAAAAGTTCAAAAGATCTCAGCCAGGTGTTCTCCATTTTCAGTGAAAGGAATTTTCACAAACAACAAACCTGCTGACTCTTAAGCAGGACCCATCGATGACACAACTGAAAATGTCTAAACAAACAATTTATATTAAATCCTTTTGAAAGGATCTTAAAATGTTGTTCATTTCCTGCAGAAAGATTGTTGCTTAAATGACCGTAAATTTCAGAACCAAAGAACGAAAATACTTACTGTTGCACTAAATTTGCATAATTTTAATGGAAAAATCAGGTGAATGAGCACATACATACATATGTCTCTAAGGATACTATACAATTTTTTTTTTGGAAATCTAGAAAAATTGTTAACTAACATTTTAGTGTACGAAGACAATATATAGCTAATCCTAGCTTTCATAGCAGATTTTCGCACATTTGACAATTTAACAGAAAAAACATTTACAGCCCCAGCATCTTTACGTATACTTACATATGTAGATATATCTCCTGCATGCAAACATATATGTACATGCGCTGTAAATTAAAAATATGCAAGACAAAAACAAACTAAATTTAGTTAAAAATATAATATCTGGAAGAGCGGGAAATATAAATCCTGCACATCCTGGACAGTGGTGAATTGTATATTTGTACATACATACATACCTCCAGCTAGCTAAGCCGGCTTTAACTTGAACTCTGGCCAAACAAAAAGGAGTTCTTTCTTCAAATAGTGCGCATTTTCTATAGCTATACAGTTAAATGCTTTATTATTTACTTAGTTAATGAAGATAAAGATTTCTGCTAAGGATAACGTCAGCACAAGCCAAAGAAGCTGGCAGGGCAAAGGAAGGAATACATATACTCGTACAAATCATTGAAAATTACATTCTTAGAATGCATATGCAGCATTATTTTTTTTTATACTTATACATATGTATATGTACTCATATAGATATATATGCATCCATTTACAATTGGCTTATGTATTCCCCTTTGTAGATTTAATCCTGCTTAGCATGCGTTCCGCCACCAACACAGCACAACCCAAACAGTACAGCCCGGACTTGTCGTCCTACCGATCTATCGACAGCACTCAGCTGCAAAGATTTTGCCCATAGATATTGATTATATACATAAATATATAGAGAAAACTATTTACTTTTTCGTCTGCACAGCAAACAATTCCAAACTGCAAATGAACAACAAGTGACCAAATGCACCATTGCACAACTGACGACTAATCCTTTTTCCTATGAATGCCAAACAAACTGAAAAAATATTTTACTTTTGCAGTTGAAAGAACAAAGTTACTCCTACTCATAGTAAAACAACACAAGTACTAACAAACATACATATGTCCACATATATTGGCGGAAAAAGCGCGCCAAAAATGTACAAATTTTCATTAGACGAGCAAAAAGAGCATGATAATGACAACCACAAAAGAAGGCGGCGAGAGATGTAATCACTGGTTACCGGATAGCCAGCTCGCTTGAGTGGGCGACCACTGGGAAATATGAGAAGTTTAGAGCTTGGAGTTTCTTATAATTTTCGGATTATTTTTGGCAAGTATTTTTTTTTTTTTGTTTATCTTGTAGTTGACCAGATGAGTTGATTGTATCTTATCAATCAGTAGATGTGTGCATTTAATAAGGAAAATCTGCGTGAATAATACAAAAGGTTTCGAAAACATAATAAACACATGCAAATGGGCAGTCATTCTTCTGAAGACATTTGTGAATCTCTTATCTTATATTAAATTCTACATTATCGTTTTTCGAATCATTGGGAGCAATAAATTTCATTAGGAATCCTCATCATGAAAGCAAAAAAGAATAGATCTAATGAAGATGTTCTTTTTTTAATTTTAATTAATTCTGATTCTGATGATTTATTTTTTTTTTATATCAGGTGTAGTAAAAAGATTTCCAATAGATGGTGTTATTTATCTGTATCTCGCGTTGTATAGGTCTGATCGCTTTCCGCTAGATGGCGTTAGAAAGATGACATTTAATACTAAAAAAAACTTTCCTGACAGTTTTGTGATTGGTTGATTCGGTTTTGTTTGAGCGTGCGTCAAAGATGAACACTAGCAAAGAGAAAATACACCATACTTTACAGTTTTTCTTTGATGTGGGAGACAACGCAAGCCAAGCGGCTAAAAATGCGTATTATGGTCCTGATACTGACACTGTTACAGTCAATCATGCAAAATTTCGGTTTCATTCCGGTAATTTTGATGTAAAAGATGCTTCACGGAGTGGAAGGCCAACTGTCAAACATGTCGATTAAATCACGATTCTTCTCGAGTCGGACCGTCATGTGAGCAATGTTTTGATTGCCCAAGAGTTACAGATTACACAAAAACCCGTTTGGAACCATTTGAATGAGGTTGGATACGAAAAGTAAAAATTTAAGCCTTCAATTTCATGCAAAAGTAATGAATTTCTTTTTACGACACCAATATTTGTGGTCAGAATATATCCAATAAGAGATAGCTTAGGTCCT